CTTATTTATTCTCCTTGTACCTATGAGCAGCAGATGACAGCAACCCTTTGTAACTGTTCAAACATCTTAATCTCCCAAAGCCTCGTCTCACGTCCCATCCTTGTCAATGTCAGTCTCTCAACATTTTCTCCCAAATGTGGTAGAGCGGTTCATAATGTTATCCCAAGCACTCCAGAGTGCAATGGAAGAGGGAGTATGAAATAACACCTGTTCTGCTATGGTGGAGCAATGGTAGAAAACCCAGACTGATTTTAACTTTCCTTAAATGCATAACTTTATGATCAGCATTTGACAGGACATCCATATCATACCTCTCCTCTAAGGCTCAGGGAACATCATGGAAGACGGGACAGAAAGAATGTAAGAGCAGGAGACAGGGAGAAGGTCAATGAAACCTTATCTTCTGGGCATGACATGGCCATTGCATTCATGATTCATAATAAGTTCAGGGACCTGAGTAAGATCCAGCCTGCAGACATTACCACATGATGGAGGAAGAGCATGTAAGGCCCCATCCCTAGAGGAAGAGACATTGGCAGCTAATGTGTGGTAGAGGAGGAGCAGTCATTTTTCTTCAGAGGGTGTAGCCACTGGTAAGTTGACCATGATCCAGTAATAACCCCACACCTATGCACACAAAACCACTTCAATTAAACTCAATGGAATGTGGGGTTTTTTGATAATTTTTTAATTTAAATTTGAAACAAGCTTGTTTTACATGTCAATCCCAGTTCCCATACTCTCCTGCCCTCTCCTGTCCCCCCCCCCATTAACCCACATCCCATCCTCTTTCTGGTCCCCAGGGCAGGTGAGACCTTTCATGGGGAGACTTCAAAGTCTGTCATATCATTTGAGGCAGGGTCTAGGCCCTCTCCCATGTATCTAGGCTGAGAAAGTATCCCTCCATGTGGAATGGGCTCCCAAAGTCCATTCATATACTAGGGATAAGTACTGGTCCACTACCAGAGGCCCCAAGATTGCCCAGGACTCTTAACTGACACCCACATTCAAGGGGTCTGGGTAGATCCCATGCTGGTTTCCCAGCTGTCAGACTGGGTTCCATGAGCTCTCCCTTGTTCAGGTCAGCTGTTTGTGTGGGTTTCTCCAGACTGGTCATGACCCCTTTGCTCATCACTCCTCCCTGTCTGCAAATGGATTCCAGGAGTTTGACTCAGTGTTTAGCTGTGGGTATCTGCTTCTGCTTCCATCAGCTACAAGATGAAGGCTCTAGGATGGTATATAAGGTAGTCATCAATCTCATTATAGGGGAAGGGCATTTAAGGTAGCCTCTCCACGATTGCTTAGATTGTTAGTTGGAGTTGTTCTTATAGATCTCTGGACATTTCCCTAGTGCCAGATTTTTCTATAAACCTATAATGGCTCCCTCTATTATGATATATCTTTTCTTGCTCTCATCTATTCTTTCCCTGACTCAATCTTCCTGCTCCCCTCATGCCCACCTCTCCCCTTCTCTTCCTCCTAACTCCACCTCCCCTCCCCCATGTTCCCAATTTGCTTGGGAGATCTTGTCCCTTTCCCCTTCTCCAGGTGACCATGTATGTCTCTCTGAGGGTCCTCCTTGTTTCCTAGCTTTTCTGAAGGTGTGGATGGTAGGCTGGTGATCCTGTGCTCTAGGTCTAAAATCCATATATGAGTGAGTACATACCATGTTCCCTTTTTTGTGACTGGGCTACCTCAATAAAGATGATTTCTTCTAGTTCAATCCATTTCCCTGCGAATTTCAAGATTTCATTGTTTTTTTTCCACTGAGTAGTACTCCAGTGTGTAAATGTATCATATCTTCTTTATCCATTCTTCAGTTGAGAGGCATTTAGGTTGCTTCCAGGTTCTGGCTATTACAAATAATGCTGCTATTAACACAGTTGAACAGATGTCCTTGTTGGTTGAATGTGCATCTTTTGGGCATATGCCTAAGAGTGGAATTACAGGATCTTGAGGCAGACTGATTCCCATTTTCTTGAGGAAACACCATACTGATTCCCAAAGTGGCTGTACAAGTTTGTACTCCCACCAACAGTGGAGGAATGTATCCCTTTCTCCACATCCTCTCCAGTATAAGCTGTCATTATGTTTTTGATTTTAGCCATTCTGACAGGATTAAGATTGTATGTCAGAGTTGTTTTGATTTGCATTTCCCTGCTGGCTCAGGATGTTGAGCACTACCTTAAGTGGCTTAAAAGCTATTTTAAATTCCTGTATTGAGAATTCTCTATTTGCTCTGTACCCCACTTTTTAATTTGATTATTTGGTGTTTTGGTGACTAGCTTCCTGACTTCTTTGTATATTTTGGATATCAGCCCTCTGCCAGATGTGGGGTTGGTGAAGATCTTTTCCCCTTCTGTGGGCTGCCGTTTTGCCTTATTGACTGTGTCCTTTGCCTTACAGAAGCTTCTCAATTTTAGGAGGTCTCATTTATTAATTGCCTATCTTAGTGTCTGTGCTACTATGTGCGTTATGTTCAGGAAGTGGTCTCAGTGGAGTGTTTTAAAGGCACAAAAGGAGAAGGCAGATGTATTGATCCAAGTGGGGTGTCAGGCAGATAAGAGAGGGAAGTGTTATGTGGGGGTGGGGGTGAATTGATGAAGCTACAGTATATGTATATGAAATTGTCAAAGAAAAATTATTTTTAAGCTATCTAAGTTCACTGAAACACAATATCAATATAACAAAAAGTTTAAGGTAGACATTTATCTGCAAAATGAGTCACTTAAATATCAAGTGAATATTTACCTTATATATATATATATCATATATACATATGTACATATATGCATGTATGCATATGCGCATATATGCATATATACATATACATAATCATATACATATACATACATATACATACATACATACATACATACATAATTCCCTGTGGCTAAGAAGCTAAAGTCAAAAAAGCTATGAATGGAGTGCTGCCATTGGCTAACTTTAAAAAAATTCTTTGTCTAGTCTGATACAATAGTGACAAATATTTAATGTTTAAATGAGAAAAAGTAAGGCCAGCCCTGTAGTCATTGCTCATCAAATGTATTGTCTCTTCACTGTTCAAGGCTGTCTGCAAACAAGAACAAAATTTGCCATCCTGTTTGGCATTAGTCATAGTTTACCCTGAGATGCAGATGAGCTGGCATAATCTCTGGCTAGGCAATTGTGTCTTGTGTTCATCTTAATAAATCTCAGTTTTGAAATATGTGTTGTTGAAATGAGAACTGCAGGTAAGAATCAAATGCAGCCTTTGTTCCATGAACACTCAAGCTCAATGGAAAGCTTCCCTTGGTTGTAAAAAATTCCTGGGAAATAATTCCATAAAGCTTTGACTGCCAAAATGTTGTAACCTCTAAAATCAAATGAGGTATTTTGTGTATTTTAACTTGATTCAATTTATCCAAAGCTCTTAATTCTACTACAAGCATGGGGCATTGTATTTTATGGTTTTTTTTTTTTTTCAAGTAGAGTTTAAGGACAGTTATTTTTTTTTTTTTAATGATAAGTGGGTGTTCATGGGGGAACAATTACACACACACACACACACACACACACACACACACACAAAAGAACTGTAGTAGGAGTGTTTCCCTGTGCTTCCTACCAGATCCACTGACCCACCAGAAAACCACATTTGAATTCTTAAGTAGGTTTGTGAATGAGAAATTCCCTAGGGTTTCAACTCCGAGGAATGGGCTCCTTTGCTAAATGAAATTTTCGATGATTTTATTTTGTGGGTGAGAAAAGATAACTGATATCAGCCTCTGAAAATAACCCCATCAAATGGGAAACAAACACTCAAAGTGTGCCCATAAGGGACATTTGAGATTCAAACCATAGAGCTGCTGGATGATAAAAAGTCAGATTTAGCTGGTTTCTTGTAACTTGAAAGGGAGATTCTGCTGCCATTTCATTCTTACTAGCCTAGCTGTCTTCATTGGTTCTCCCTAAGGTTTTACAGGGTGGCAGCTCGAAGCATCTAGAGCAGTGGTTCTCAACTCATTGGTCGAGACCCCTTTGGGGTTAAGCAACCCTTTCATAGCAGTCACCTAAGGTCATCGGAAAACCCTGATATTTGTATTACAATTCATAACAGTAGCAAAACTACAGTCATGAAGTGGTGATGAAAATAATCTTATGGTTGGGGTCACCACAGCACAAGGAACTGTACTAAAGGGTGGCAAGATTAGGCAAGTTGAGAGCCATTGCTCCAGAGCTTGCTTACTCATTTAGCAAGTGCCACCATTAGCTCCAAGTCAACCTGTGGCTGGTGAAATAAAATTTTTATGATAGAAGTTGTTTGTTTTAGCATGACCGAGCAGGACATGAACAGAATGGATAAACTCTGTTTGTTTGTTGGTTTGTTTGTTGGTTTGAACATGCAGCCCAGGGTGGACTCGAACTCATGATCATCCTGCTTCTTCCATCTTCAGTAAAACCTACTGGTGTGTGCCACCACAACTGGCTAAACTGTTTATATGTTCCATTTCTAACATTTTCCAGATCCTAAAATGACTACACCTAATTTTTCTGCCTTCTCTGGAATACAGATAAATCATGATAAATGCATCAAGAATGAATTAAGGTGCTTGTTTAAACATGACTATATTTTGTTGGTGAAAGAGAAAATATATGATGCCATGTCATTGTTAAATGAAACAGAGCAAAGGAAGACAGTTACACCCTAACATTGTTTCCAGAATTTTTTTTCTTTTCCCACAAATATTTCTTACTTAATTTTTCTAGGGTTGGTCTTTTGTGCTAAACTTTAAGCAGGTGCAATGAGAAGTGATATAATCGAGTGTGCTTTTTAACTCATCCTCAGACAGGTAGACAGAGACCTACCACAGACTTCTGAGCCAACACCTCTTCCCTCTCTCCACTTTCCCTTCCAAGGATTGGTCTCAAAGTTATGGAGACTTGGGGTTAAATTTGCTCCTGGATGTCTGTCTCTACTGAACTTCTAATTACATTTATTTTCTTTTTGTAACCCATAGGACTACCAAGAAGCCTCCAACTTGGAACAATTTGTCACTCGGTTTTTGTTGAAGGAGACTTTAAATCAATTGCAGTCTCTCCAGAACTCTCTGGAATGTGCCATGGAAACTACTGAGGAGCAAACCCGTCAAGAAAGGCAACTGATGTTTTCTGTATCTCTGATTCTCTATGCTTTTTTATTATTATTCCCTCATACATTGCATCCCAACTGCAGCCTCCTCTGTGTCCACTCCTTCCAGCTCCCTTCCCTCCTCCCCCAATGACACCTCTTCTTTCTCCTCAAAACAAGAGCAGGCCTCCCAGTGAGGTCAATTGAACACAGCATACAAAGACACAATAAGACTAGGGGCAAACCCTCCTATCAAGACTGGATGAGGCAATCCAGTAGAAGAAAACTGGTGCCAAGAGCAGTCAAAAGAATCAGACACACCCCCATTCCCACTGTCAGGAGTCCCACAAAAACCCTGAGCTACACAGCCATGATATAGCGAAGACGCATTCAGACTCCCTAATTGTCCCTTCAGCCTCCATGAGCCCCTATTCGCCCTGCTTAGGTGATTCTTTTTTGTTTTCTTTTACTTATTTTACATATTAGTCCCAGTTCCCTCTCCCTCCCTCCCTCCCATGTCCCCAACCCCCCTCCCATTGCATTCCCCACCCACTCCACAGGGAGGGTGAGGCCTTCCAGGAGGGATCATCAAAATCTGTCAAGTCATTTGGAATAGGGTCTAGGCCCTCTCTCCAGCCTCTAGGCTAAGGGGGACATGCTCCCAAAGTCCTTTCCTGCACCCGGGATACATCCTGGTTCCACTGCCAGAGGTCCCTTAGACTGCCTAGGCCTTCTAACTGAGACCCATGTTCAGGGGGTCTGAGTCAGTCCAATGCTGGTTTCCCAGCTATCAGTCTGGGGGAGTCCATGAGCTCCCACTTGTTCAGGTCAGCTGTCTCTTTGGGTTTCTGTAGCCTGGTCTTGACCCGTTTTCTTATCACTTCTCCCTCTCTGCAACTGGATTCCAGGAGTTCAGATCAGCGTTTACATGTGGGTGTCTGCTTCTGTTTCCATCAGCTACTAGATGAAGGTTCTAGGATGGCATATAAGTTAGTTATCAACCTCATTATCAGGGAAGGGCATTTAAGGTAGCCTCTTCACTGTTGCTCAGATTGTTCATTGGGGTCATCCTTGTAGGTCTCTGAACATTTCTCTAGAGTCAGTTTTCTCTTCAAACCTATAATGGCTCCCTCTATTATGGTATGTCTCTTCTTGCTCTTGACTTCAAGCTCTACTATAGAGCTATAGTCCTGAAAACAGCTTGGTGTTGGCACAAAAATAGACAGGTAGACCAATGAAATTGAATCAAATATCCTGATATTAACCCACACACCTACAAACACCTGATTTTTGACAAAACAGCTAAAAGTATGCAATGGAAGGAGGAAAGTATCTTCAGTAAATGGTGCTGGCACAACTGGATGTGTAGAAGACTGCAGATAGACCTATGTCTGTCGCCATGCACAAAACTTAAGTCCAAATGGATCAAAGACCTCAACATAAATCCAGATACACTGAACCTCTTAGAAGAGAAAGTCGGAGGTACCCTTGAACAAATTGGTACAGGAGACTACTTCCTGAACATAACACTAGAAGCAAAACCACTGAGACCAATAATTAATAAATGGGACTTACTGAAAATGAGAAGCTTCTGTAAGGCAAAGGACACAATCAACAAGACGAAATGGCAGCTCATGGAATGGGAAAAGATCTTCACCAACCCCACATCTGATAGAGGGCTCATCTCCAAAATATACAAAGAACTCAAGAAACTAGTCAACAAAACAACAAATAATCCTATTTAAAAGTGGGGTACAGAACTGAATAGAGAATTCTCAATAGAGGAATCCAAACTGACTGAAAGAAACAAAGTGCTCAACATCCTTAGCCATCAGGGAAATGCAAATCAAAACAACTCTTAGATGCCATCTTACTAATGTCAGAATGGCTAAAATCAGAAACACTAATGACAGCTTATGCTGGAGAGGATGTGGAGAGAGGGGAACACTCCTCCACTGCTGGTGGGAGTACAAACTTGTACAGCCATTTTGGAGATCAGTGTGGTGGTTCCTCAGGAAAATGGGAATCAGTCTACTCTTAGGCACATACCCAAATGATCCACATCTACACAACAAAGACATCTGTTCAACTATGTTCATAGCAGCATTATTTGTAATAGCAAGAGCCTGGAAGCAACCTAGATGCCCCTCAATTAAAGAATGAATAAAGAAGATGTGGCATATCTACACAATGGAGAACTACTCAGCAGGGAAAAAAAAACAATGGAATCTTGAAATTCACAGGCAAATGGATGGAACTTGAAGAAACCATCCTGAATGAGGTTACCCAGTCACAAAAAGAGGAACATGATATGTACTCACTCATATATGGAGTTTAGACATAGAGCAAAGGATCACCAGCCTATATTTCACACCACCATTGAATACAAGTAGGATACAAGTAGGAATCTCTTAGATTCCTACAAGGTCCCTCACAGAAGGGGAAAGGAACAAGATCTCCTGAGCATATTGGGAGTGTGCGGGGAGGCAGTGAGTGGAGAGGAAGTTAGGAGAAAGAGAAGGGGAGCAGAGGAGAACATGTGGGACCAGGAAGATTGAGTCAGGGGACAAATAGACAAGTGTTTAGTTGATTCTTTGAACCATGTTCTCAGGGTGCCCTCAAGTCCTTTGACTCCACCTAGTGGAGGGGTTATCGTGCTTATTCTAGAGAAAAGCAATTACATAAATTAATGGCTTTTTAGGCAATGCCAAGGACCTCTCTAATGTATTTTCTTTGGGAAAAATATGTCACCTTTTATTATGTTGTCTGTTGTGCATTGAATGTATGTGCATTGAGAATTTAGTGGGTAGAGAAGAGTTTAAAAGACAATATAGATGATACTAATATATATTTAACAAGATATTAATCCTTAAGGAGCTAAAACCTATTATATACATAAATGTGGTTACTAAAACTAAGCCATAAGGCACAACAAGATAAATGGAGAAAAAGGGAAGTAATGTGTCAATGGGTTTCTGAAGAGTAGAATACTAAATGTGGTAGAGTATAATTTAAAGCCAAGGCCTAATCTTCAAAATAATTTGAAAATGTGACAATGGTCAGAAAGGCCTTACTAGACCAAATAATCCTGGTTATATTGGAAAGACTGGGCATTAATTAAGCAAGCCACATTATTTTTAAAATGGAGAAAAGTGAGTAGTGAGAGACATTTAAAAGCTAATGCTACCAGTGTCTATCACTAAGTAGAAAATTAACAACATAATAAAGGTACCCGTGCTGATGAGAAGACTGTATTATAAGCAAGGTGATGTCAGAATAATTCAAACCATGTGGTATGTTACTGAACTGACATTGTTGGTGACTTGTGAAATGGACAAGGGCAAAAATCTTGGTCTTCTGACACACCTTATGTAACATTCACATCTTGGGACTGCTGTAAGGTTTTTGAATAAGGTGGTAATAACTTAATCTTTAAGAGCAATTTTTTCTAAAGAAATTAATGGATACATGATAATCAAGACATTTCCATAATGTCATGGAGTTTTCAGCCATGTGTAATGTCAGATGAATGAGCTCTGCCAAGTTCCAGCAAAGGAAAGCCTATGACTTCAGAATACAGTCGTTCTGTGTAGATAATAGACTTGGAGATGCAGCAGATGAATACTGGAATGTATCCTTCAGTGGATCTGTACACCCTTCTTCACACCATACTTTCTCTTCATTGTGTTGAGTGATTCCATGCCAAATAAGAAAGCATAGAAATTCACTTCAGGAAATCAGCAAACCACCTCCCCCAGTTTGAGAAGAGTGTCTTGAAGCACGATGAAATTGATTTCATGCTCTTGGTGAGAAAATGATGATCCTTATTGTTTCTTTGGTTTGGATCCCAAGGATTGAAGGTCTTTCCTTTTACAAGCAGTCATTTGCCACCTGAAGAGACTTAGAAAAGTCTCAGCACTGCCTCTTCACCTTCATTCTGCAGGTTCTCTCTTCCCCTCTATAGTTATTACCTACTAACATAGGGAACACGCAGCACTGCACACATTGTAAATGTTTAATGAGCAACTGTTTTGTGTTAGGCTTGCTTTCAACTGTGCTTGTAACCAGAAGCTGCATAGCAGCCTTGCTTAATGAGAAGGAACAAAGTCATTTAGAGTTTAAGAAAAATAGAAGACAGCAAAGGACTGATGAACCTTTTTATTTTTTTAATTATTTAATATTTTTCTTATTTTACATATCAATCCCAGTTCCCTATCTTTTCTTAGCTTGTTTTCTACTCCACAATTCTTTGCTGATAAAGCCTTAATGCAGAACAGGCTCTCACATCCCCCATCCCTACTTATGCCTTGTCCCACTGAACAAACTCGGCCTTGTACTTACTCCTCCTCTATGCTGGCCTTTGCCTTTCTAGATGGCAGGACCTTTCCTTTCTCCCCCTCTGCATGAGTGGAACGGAATAAAGGGAAATGAGCTCTGTGGGACAGTGAGGAGGGCCAATCCATCTGCTCTCTGAAGATCTTAAAAGCTAGACAGAGGCACTGGAAATTAATTCTATCATAGGCTGCTGTGAGTGATTATAAAAGAGCAAACTGATAACACCCAGGAAAGGAAAGGAAATCTTGTCTTGCAACCGTATATAATACATATTGGAGAGAGAGAATAAGAGAGGGGAGAAGACAAAACTGGGTTTATAAAACTCCTCAGTTTTTAGTATCACAAAGAAGGATCCCATGGTGCCCTACAAAGTCAAGAGTTGTAAGCTGCAGGTTTTATTAAAATTCCCTGGGTCATAATAATTTTCTTCCCCTTTGGCATCAACATTCCTTTAGAATTTAATGGTTGTGAAAGTAAAGGACACAGACTTGTTGGGAGGAGGAAATCCAGAGAAAACATCTCCTCCTTCTAGCAGCCCCAGGCAGAATCACACAGCATCGTTCATCCTGCAATAATGAGCCAGACGTGCTGGGCTGGGCATAATGTCTGTGCCCATTCATGTGAAAACGGCAGTTTCAGGGAGGAGGATAAGCACAGCTGGAATGTCACTGAGGTGAGAGCCTCAGATGGCA